TGTTCAGATTTATTATTAACTCATTTTTTATTTTTTTTTGAATTTCCTCCCTTTCTATTGCAAAGGCCTCATATGTAAGATTATTAGATAAAACTTATAAGTTTTGCAAATTATTTAAATAATCAAAGGTAAAATTTAGCAAAATTATATTAAAATATTATTAAAAAATCTATAAAACTCAAGAAAAGATAAAATTATATCAAAGTTTATAAAAATGTGAAACTATATCAAAACTTTAGTAAAAAATTAGTAAAATTAAAGTTTAAATATTTTGCTAAATCTAAAATAATAAGTTAAATATTATTTTTTAATAGAGAAAATAATAATAAATTATTTTTTATATATATAAGTTATTTTATAAATTAATTTTATTTATTTAAATTTATAATCATTAAGAATTCTTATTATTTTATAGATATCAGTTTTTAAATTAATTTATTTAATTTAGAAACAAATTATTTATTTAAATTTAATAATAAATTTAAAAATAAATTAACTATAAAAAAAGATATTAAAGTTTAAAATTAAAATGCAAAATTAAAAATAAGAAATTGAAAAATTATTAAAGAATAATAATATTTATATATATATAAAATAGATTCTAAAAAATAATAACTTATTTTTTTCATATAAATAAGCAATTATATATAAATTTTTTTTAAAAAAAATTATTGATTTAATTATGTTATTTTAGTAAGATAATGCTAATTCTAAAATATTAAATTATAGAAGTATTAATAATTTTTAAACTTAATATTTAAGAAAAGGATTAGTAATAAAATTAGACAAAAAAAAGAAAAAAAACTATAATTTGAATTAATACTTAAAATTCATATTTAGTTATGTTTTGATTAATTATATAATATCAAAATCTATTTTTTTTAGAAAATAATTAAAATTTTTAGAAAAACTCTTTTGTTTAAAAAATAATCAGAATTATGTATTTATAATTAAACCAGATGTTTAAAAATTAAAATCTATAAAGATAATAATATACTTGATAAAAATTAAATCATAAAATAAGATTTAATATAAGAATTTTATTTATTTATATCTATTGAAAGATAATATTAATTTATTAAAGGTAATTAATTTCAATAAAAAATAAAAAAATATGAATTTTTAAATTAATAAAAAATTTATAAGAAAGAGACTCCTTAAAGTTTATAATAAGAAACCTATTTTTTTTCTAACATTATATAACTTATACAAGAAAACTATATATATATTAATTAAAGGAAAATTTTTTATCAATTAATTTATATTAAGCTAATTTTCCTGAACCTGGTTTAGAAATCATGTGATTATCTATTTTATTTCCACTATACAATCTGTTATTTTATAAGATACAGTATTGTGTTATTTATTAAATATAATGTATTTCGGATAATTTCAACAACAAAGCGTATATAATCAAAATTTTTTATATGTATTAATAATAACAAAAAAAACTCCTTTATTGATCTTTGTATATGGATAACATCGATTCTTTGAAGTGACCTTGTGCAATAAATAATTAGTAAAATTATTCAATGATAAAAAATTATTAAAAACCATTAATTGAAGATGAAGCGATATGAAAATTTGCCTATTTATTTTTTATCTCAGCAAATCAGATCAAAGACCATTGGACTTTTTCTATGGTTGTCAAAAAATAATCTATTCGTGTACCCTCTTTGATAGCATTATATTAATTCACTTGTTACTTTTTTACTGAAATATTAATAAAGTTTGCAGTGCATCAAAAAAAAAAAAAGCAAATCATATGTTCTCTTTTTGGCAAATCGACCATTAGAGTCATGTGACTTCGAGATTCAAACCGAATCTGCCCTATATGTAAAAAAGAGCATTGGTATCTGAATGGCAAATGGTGGATCGATGGTTAAGGCAGTAAAATATTTTTAGGTTTGCGATATGAGAATAAAGTCCCAAATCAGCCTATCCCTTGAAATAAGTCTCCGGAATAATAGGAGCATAAGTGAAATGTCTATAAATCAAAGTATAATAAACTTTTATTTGTTTGCCACATTTCGGACTTTATTTTTAAATGGCATAGAAAAATTTTACTATGACGTAAAACCGAGATAAAATGCATGGGTTGTGACCTCACTAGTGATGTAAATCGTCCCATAGGTTTAATCAATACTTTTGTGTCTGGCTAACTTTTTTTCCATCTACTAATTGTATTCTTCCTTTAATAGTCCTCGTAGACAGACACCTGCAAGAAACTTGTTTCTGATTAGTCATACTGAAAGATAGGTATCGTTGATCATGCACCATTTACAGTTTACAAAGGCTTGAGTTGGGAGGTTTCTTCAAGTAGCGCAACCGACACAATAAAGTGAAGGTAATTTTTCTTAATTGGCAGAGAGGGAGCTCCTGTATTTGTACAGCACAATGCAATCGAATATCAAAATATTTCAATGCTAATAACATGAAAATTAGTTACTTTATAAATGTAAAGAAATTCTATTAGTTGTAACCCTTATTGGTCAATACTTAGATCTTTATTACACTAAGATAAACTTTGAAAGCAAAGCTCAGCGGAACGGGAAATAATGTTCTTTTGTATAAAGACAAAAAAAAAAAATCAGTATATAATCTGGCAAATAATATAAACATTCTATACTGACCTTTATTTGCATTAGTTCTTCTATTGCAATGGAAAGTACATTAAGGTTATGGACATTTTGTGGAAGAAAAAACTTTCCCAGGAGTATCATTCGGTATATCGCATCAAATTTCAGATCCATAACAAACACACTGCACTGAAAACCTGATTATAAAAGGAAGGTAAATAAAGAGGTACATACTAAAAATCATTAATACATATTTACCTTCAACAAGTATGCTACATATAGACAAATCTTTGGTTTTTACACCATTTTTAATGCACTTATCAAGCATGTTCTTCATTTCATTCCCAATTTTTATTAAATCGAAATCCACAAAATTGGTTTCCTTTGAAGACATATATCTGGCAGGTTTTATTTCGGATACCAATAGATAGTATTTATTGCTTTGAATTTGTGTATAAATAGAAAAATCGGCTCTCCTTCCCTGGAAAGGAGAATTTTTGTAGGTGGATGGATCCAAAACATCAGAGGACCTAAAAATAATTAATTTACATATTTAATAATCATTGTAACATGTGAAAATCCATTATTTACTCACGTATTTCTTTTAGAAAAAAAAAATATTTAAATACCATTCACATTTTAGATCACTATTTGTAAAAAAAGGTGTAATTATCGACGAAAAAATTTCGTGAACAAAAGAATCTTTTCTTGCATCTGATTTGTTAATATGTGGAAGGTACCTGAAACTATGACATGATTAAAAATAAAATGAAACCAAATCATGCAATAACACATATATTTAGACTTGTGACGAACATGGCGAAAAAATTGAAAAAGGGCTAGATTTACATTGACTCGAAAACTTCCAAAATTAAATCATCATTGTTTTCTTCAACTTCCTTCTGCCATTTCCTAAGTAATGACTTACAGCCTTGAAAGTTTTCATTTGCGGTCTGTTTTAGATTAATGTAACATTAGTCCAATGAAAGATTATTATACTTAAAGTCATTCAAAAAAGCGTGCCTTGGATATTTCGTGACATCGTATAATGTCTTTATCTAATAGTTGATATGGAATATATTCACTTCTTAAATTTTCAAAAATAATTTTCAATGATCCCGGGCCGATCATCTCCGAAATTCCAATTGATAAATTCTCGTCCAACAAAAATATGTGATCAAGTGAACTGCAATAATATTATAAGTATTTACAATACCAACCATTGATAAAAGATTAAGTCAAAAAACTTACAGCATTTCGACAGCATTCTCTAGCTTGTTCTCAGATGCTTTTTTTACAGACAAATTACGATATTCTAGTAGCAAATTTGAAATATTAATTGTTCCGATGGTCCACTATGTATATGCAAGAAAATCAAATGTTAAAAGTTTAACACCTATAATTGAAATCAAGTGTTAAAACATTACCTTATTGTCAAATTCACTCAACGTTGACTCTTTTATGCCAAGTCCGACAAACCAATCGTATTGAAATTGAATTGTTTCTTTTTGTTCAGGTTCGGTGTCATCTCTTGAATCCTTTGATTCGGGAAGGCATGTCAATTCAGATGGTGTTTGAAGAAATATATTATTGAAGCTATTCAATTCTGGGTATAGTTTGTTAGATGAACGTGCAGTTCTACCATCAATTTCTTTATGCACTTCATCAAAGTTGCTGGTTTCAGATTTTATCTTTTTTGGAACCGAAAATTTATGAGAGAGTTCCTCACTTTCCGTATCTTCCAGCTGACGTTTTTCTGAAACAATATAATTATGTTCTCCAATATCGTTTTTCGTTGCACCAAAGATCTGACCAAAATATTTTTGAGCAATGTTGTAAATGTCCAAAATTATACTCATGAAAGACTTACTGTCTTCATCGTTAAGGCAAAATCTTGTTGAATTTGCAAATTTGTATCGTGACTTGTTCGACAGGCTAGGATCTAAAGATAAATTTGAATATTAAAAATCACAACCATGTACGTCGTAAATATCTGATAGTTAGACATACCGCTTTCTTTTCTTTTAACCAAGTTTCCCAGTCTCGTTGTATAAATTCTTCCTATTTAAGGAATACATTAAAAATGTTTCACATTTAATTTCGAAATTGTCAAATACATACGTTAGTATCCAAGGCTTTCAGTTTATCAAGCATTGAGCCCTTACTACGGTTTATAGCAATGGCAAGACATTTTTTATATTTATTAATGGCCCGTATACGTTGAGTTGGATGAGTTAAGCGAAAAAAGGATATTGGAGTAGGTGCTGTAGATTTTAAGAAGAAGTTTATATCCCCATCTTGTCGATCCTTTCTGGAAACTTTTCTTTGTTCAGTATTCATTATTGCTTTATAAAAAAAAAAAAAAAGTATTATTCCAAAGCAAAAGCATCAAACAATTGCTAAAAGGGGCTGATCTCTAATGAAGGTCGACCACCGCTCGATGGTGACTTGCCATAACTGATTTCCGATAGTTCTCAATATTTATACAAAAACTTACACGGTCATAGACAAAGAGCAACGTTAAAAAAAAAAAAATTGAAATGGTTTCGCGTTTTTAGGTGAAATGACGATCTATTAGCTATCAATCCTTACCAAAATTATCTAAACACGTGAGTTAATAAGAAGGATTTATACCTTGTAATCAGTGCTGTAAAAAAAATATAAAGCATATATCATTATTCTCTTCGAAATACAAACCATTAAAATTGATTATTTTTATTTCAATTTCAATATTATCATTAAAGATAAACATATTTTTTAAACCTCTAATTCAATATCTATTTTATAATAAAATTAAGTATTAGTCAATTATGTTTACTAGCGATTGAAGTCGCTGGTATTTATAATATTTTAAGAGTAATATTTCTTATATAGGATATTATTTAGCAGTTAATTCTACCAATTAATTTTTTTAATTATATTGTTAACGTGCAATCCTTGCGAATTGCGACAGTTAGACGGGGTGTTCGAGCGGTTTGTTCTTTTTAATTGAGCAGCAGTGTGTAAAATTCATGTGCACAATGTGCACATGTGCACATTAAATTTTTATGTGCACATATTACACAGCATA